GCGCATTAAAATCGCCCATCAATATGAGGGACTCTGTGTTCGGCACTTCAGACAGAGCACACTGCACTTCGTCAAGGGAGGTCTCATATTCTGCTTCCGAATTGGGCGCATAGACCTGTACCAAGGACATCGATTTAGCCTGTTGTAGCTTCAGTCGGAGTATTACTACCCTTCCGCTGATAGGCTTCCAATCGATTATTCTATCGGCAAGGTTGGGTTCTACCAGAACGTTAATACCGGCCTGAGCGTGAATCGTGATATCGACGCCTGAGTGGTACAGCTTCCATCCATTGAGGTTCGGGAGTCCAGAGCCTTGCGTTTTGTTGACGAGAGTTCAACGATGTCGAGTTGGTACTTCGTGGCCTCATGAACTAACTCATGTTCTTTTCCTCTGAGTGAGGATATGTTACAATTTCCGACTTTAAGCTCCCACTGGTGGTGTCGTTTTCGTGGAGCCTTTGATGACGTGCTGTAATGGCATCGCGCTGTCTGCCTCCTCCGTTCAGAACGGGTAGCACTCCGTTGCTGTCTGGTATCTTCGTCGTCGTTGCGTCGGTTTTCGTCAACCGTCGTTGTGCTGCCATGCTCCCGGCTGGCAGAGGCCAATGAGCAGGTCCTGATGGCCGAGTTTTCGCAATCTGCTTCAGTCCCCCAACAGGCTGCGCGGCCCTTGGCAACCCGGGCGACGATCGAGCCGGTATAGTTTTCGATGGCGTCAGTACCATGAGTTGCAGGTAGCTGAATTTTACGGAGACTTGCAACGGTCTTGCCGTCCTTTCTTTTGGTGCAATAAATATATTTCTTTTAGTCGAATTGCCTTAAAAGAAAAAAATGGCCTTGTCAAAACATAACCCAGTGAGCTCATAATTTCAGTGTTCATCGCAAGTCTTCATGGCCATCGTGGTTTGTTTAGAATCTGCACTTCACATATACCTCGTTGTCTTGCGATACCAGTCTGCATATGTACATCTTCCGTACTTGTTCTCAAGTGTGGATTAAA